ACGACTTTTTTTAACCAGCCGATTGAGACTGAGTGAACAATAGGTGTATGTCAATAGGGAAATACACGTTAGATTAGGAAGGAATTTATTTAGGAAAGAATGAAGGGAGAGACATTGTACATAAAAGGAGTAAGCAGATCGACGAGTAAACGAAAAGAAGAAAAAGGAGATAGAGAACGAGAGGAGGGAAACAAATCTCAAGACGCTTAAAATGCCTCCTGCATTACGCCGACAAACGACAACATTAAGCGAATAATTGTAGTCGTTTACGAAATCAGATACCGATGAATCAGGCGTTTCTTTCGCAGGGCAGATCATGACTACACGCACGAACACACACACACACACACACACACACACACACACACACACACACACACACACACACACACACATCATCATCATCATCATTATCAACATCAATGATTTCACTTGTTTTGTATCTATAACCTACTATGCGCATTAGCCATTTCAGACACTCATATAAAGCTTTATTCGCCAGCAAAGACGGCCATTAACTTTAAATAGACTTTTCTCTGTAGCACACAATGCATTATCATTTTATATTCCTGTTATGTCATCTATACGCAGTTATACGTGGCCCTGTTTGCTCAGAATCCGTCATATACATCTTCACATACTTACTGAACTGAGCTTGTACACTTTTCTGGAATATCATATTTATCATTTTCGGGATTATTGATCTCTTTCATTATCTTTTGGTCTTAACTACTGTGATCATCAACATAGCCATTATAACCATTACCACCATCATAATAATAGTCATTATTACCATTACCATTATTAACGTTATCATATTTATCACCATCACTATCATTAGTATCATTATCACCAATGTCATAATTGTTTTCCTCAATAGTATCACTGTTGTTATTGCTATCATCAGAAATATAACAACGCTATGGCTGCCATTATGATCAACATCACCATTGTTTTATCTCAAAAATCACTATTATCATCTTCACACCATCACCATTACCCTTTTAATTTTTGATGTTACTGATATCTTTTTAAAACTATTGTCTTCATCCTATGCCATTGTTACAAGCCAAAAGGTTAAAATGTTGATGCAGCTACATGAGGCAAACCAAGAATAGTGGCAACCAATAACCTAAATAACCTAAAAAAAAGTAATTTCTGAACGTAAAAAATAGAAAAAATAGAAAAAAAAAAACGTTTACCGAACAAGTGACATTCAAGTTTTTTATCTCCTATGGGTCTTACTTGAAGCCTTATTGATATTTACATCTTAAAAACATTGTCAGTAACAATGCTCCTGATAAAGACAGTTTTTTTTTTTCTTTTTTTTTAATAATCATAATACTAAGAATAATGGCAACGTTATGGACTCTAATGCTATGACAAAGACATAATATGCAAATTAGTAATGTTGCTAATCATAGAATAAAAAGTCTGAGCAATGTTTGAGAATCCTGAAGGTAATGATAAAGATAGAAGAAGAAAAACGGAAATATTGATAACTACAGTTGTAAGCAACGTTCGACAATCCTATTGCTAATCATAAAGAAGATACATTAAAAGCAGCAATCTTCATAGTTATAGTAATAAACAACGCTCGACATGGCAGAGACAGAATTTGGAGGAACAGTAATACTGCTAAACATAACAGCGTTTGAGAGAGATAAAACATGAGAAATATCAGCATCGGTAATCATAATCCCAAGCAACATTCGTCAATCCTACTGTTAATGATAAAGCCAGAAAGTGAAAAAAAATTAATATTCATAATCAAAGTACAAACACCAATCCTAAAGCTAATGATAAAGAGAGATCATAGGGAAAAAAAACTGTAATACCCATAATCATAATCCCGAGCTGTCTAAGCAGGGCTCAACAGTCCTAATGATAAAGAAAAAACAAATGAAAAACAATACTAAATCCTTAATCACAGTATCACACAACAATCGTAGATCCTGAACACTCACTATGTGGTGCATCCCACTGAGGTACGAATGTCGTCCAGCGTCATCGTACTTGAGGCGAGGGTCTATCCAGTCCTGGTGAAGAAGGAGTTCCACCTCGTATTTCTGCAGGGGGAGAGAGAAGAAGGTTGCGTTAGGCTGGAGGGCAGAGAGGATGCGAACGTTTGCCCTTCTGCGGTCACGCTGGGTCCCGGAATGTGTCGTGGGGCGCCCTTGGGGTTAGTGTATGTGTATCAGTTATTAATATATGCAATGTTTGTTTTTCGTTCTTTCTATTTTTTTCTTCCTTCTTTCTTTCCATCTTTCCATCTCTCTCTCTCTCTCTCTCTCTCTCTCTCTCTCTCTCTCTCTCTCTCTCTCTCTCTCTCTCTCTCTCTCTCTCTCACACACACACACACACACACACACACACACACATACAAAGTTTAAGAGAAGTTGATTATATTAAATTTGATTCTACTGAGGAAATGTAGGAGCCAGATAGATGAAATCGACTGACGGTACCAAAAATTACAGTAATCATGACAAATGAACGG